CAAAAGGGGCACAACTCAAAATTACTGGTTTGTCAGAAAATGCCAAAAACACTTTCTTAGCATATGGTTATCATATGGGCAAGGGAGACTTTACCTTAGGTTTTTTTTTTTGGCAATTTATAGCAAAAATTTGCTCCAACTTTTGTTAAAATTTAAATAAAAGCTATGTGTACATTTCTAGCGCATAATTTAAAAATGCCAAATTTTGAGTTTTGCCTCTTTTGGAGACAGTGTGCGATATTTGCAAGTATATATATATATATATATATATGCGCCTATAAGGGTAACACGCGATGATTCTTAGCGCTGCTTTTTAAGGGCCGATGGCATGGTCAAATATTTTATCTTACCAGGCTTACTTTCTAGACCTTCAAACAATTATCATCGAAATTGTAACTGTAAACTTACGTAGGTTCAGAGATATGCTAAAAGAGAGCTGTTTTGGAAGCCATAGTCAATGAATGTGAATTTTTTTCTTCGTAGTCCCACCGCGCGCGTAAGAGTCCCGCGTAGTCAATGAATATGATTAGTGTAAAAGTATCCCACATATCAACGAACTGGCGGCTGAATTGGCAAACTGCGCTTCCAAGGAGCATCCAATCATTGCGGTTAAAGTCAGTGGGGCATATCTGGTATTTCAATAATAAAACTCAAGAAAGGCGTTGGCGTAGTATTGACGTCTCTCCTGACACAATATGGATGTCATAGACATTCTTGAACGATGAGTATAGTACAGAACATTTTCTCTGCCGCTGTCCAGCCTTAATTTTAATTTTACTTTCATTATATATTAATTTTTAAATATTTACTACAGATGTATGTAGTCCTTTTTAAGTCGGACGGTATCTCATGTCTCCGATTCCATTAAATTTTTTTGTGGGTTCTAAATATACATGAAATAAGCCAACACGTATTCGATGAATTTTTTTTCTCCTTTTTTTCTTCAGAGATATGATCTGTCATAATTTGGATTTTTTCGTAATTCTGACTAATCATGAACTTCTTCAAATTGTTATATCTCGGGTTATTCTCATCGTAGAGACATTTCTGTACATACATGCTCATGATTGTCCTAAAGTTATCTTAGCTGTTAACAGTTGAACTTTTTGAAGTTGATTTGCGTTGGGCGTTTTTCAAGAACTATTTTTAAAATATTTTTTTTTATGACCACATGGTTTAATGGTGGAGAGTCGACAATTTCTTGTAACTTTCTCTCGAAAACTCTTGATCAGATGTATTTTTAAAGGTGTTAAAAATCGGGTTTTCAGAAAATATTAAATTTTATTACGGATTCCGATAGAATACCTATTCAGAAATAATATTAGTTCAGCAAGATTTTTCTTTAACACGACAAGCCTCTAGAAATGGGCATGGAAATTGTAGGACTAAAGTTAGCAAGCATTCGTTAACAAAATTTGTTCCGCAATATTCATATTATGCCGAATAAAAGCTAAATTTTTGAACTTTGGTTTTAAAATTGCCACTCCCATTTCGAGAAGATTTTTTAATTGAAAAAGTTGCTGAACAAATATACCAAGGGCGTATACCAAGGGCGTTGTTTTGTAAGCTATTTTAAAAACGGTAAAATTTCATATGTGCTATAGTACGATCTTCTTCAATTACTTGAGATATACATAAGTGGCTTTAAAAATTTTAATAAATTTTGCAATTTACAATAATTTCCCACAAGTTGCCCCAATTCGGCTGAGCGGCGTCCGTGTTGCTTTATAATCTAAACACCTCGCCCTTGGAGGAGACTTGACTGCGTTTAATTAATTAATTAATTAAGCTACTGTAAACAGATGATATCCTATTTAAATAGCTCCAACAAAAATTAAACCTTCCCAAAATAGTTTGCTGGGTTGGAAAATATATGTTTAGAATACTCCACGTGTTTTTGGTTTTCATCTATGTAAGCATAAATATATACAAATACAGTTGTGCCTATATATGTATGAAAGCACGTGTGAAGCCACGTGCAGTGTTCGGACCACTGAAACTCGTCTCAGTAATAAATCACCTCAAAAATCGGAATCAAAACAAATTTCCATAATACATACATAGATTTGAAAATTTTTCATGGACAAGTAATTAGTGAAATTTCACTAGGGGTGCCTTTAAATGGGAAAAGCTTCAATAAACCTCGCTTGAAACTTTAACTGACTGAAATTTGTATGAAATAAGAAATCAGATATATATATTATCAATTCATTCGCAAACAAAAATGCGAAATAGTGCAAGAATAATACATATGTGCGCATATTTATTAAGTTATGCTTATTTTATTTAAACTAGAACATAAAAATCAGACCTTTTGTCAACAGCCCTTTTTGTTTGCCAGCCCTGAATTTTTTCTACTTTAAAAGGTTTTATGTCGGAAAACCTTCTACTGTAGCGCTGCAATGAGTAAAAATCAATTAAGTTATAATACACTCCGCCGAATTGCTACAATTTTCTAAGAAAAATTAAAGGAATTACCGTATTAACGAATCGTATCAAAAAAGTTTCTGGTAAGCTTTTGCTATCTCTATCTATTTTTGTACTCAAAATTTTTGATTAATTGGCAAAGTAACCAGCCCAAAGGGAACAAAATGCGAGTGGAAAACGGAGCAGACGACAAGCGAAGCAGTGGAGTTGATCTCAAACTGTTTCAGAAACCGTAGTAAATCTGTCCCGACCGATTTGAAGACCGAGCACTGGCCGCATAGCTCAGTGTTAATCTTTATCTGCCAACGTCGATAAACTTATTTTGAAAATTAATTGATTCTGTTCTACCGTTGCGCGCAACCTTTTGTGCTTTATGTGGCACACATCCCAAACACGTACTACGAATAAAATACAGTTATTTATAATTAGCGTGTGGGCAAAATACAACATACAAAACAGCACTTGGGGCGTACTGACTATTCAAAAAACATACAAAAATATTTTTAGGAACAAATTCTTTTCCTCCTCTTTACTTTTCTTACTTTGTTGTGTCTTAATTGTATCCACCCATCTGTACAGTACATAACTACTGCCGAAAATGCTGCTAATGCACCAACTCCTCGATAATAATTGTTTAAACAAAATTTGTTTGCTTTGGTTTTTTTGTTTTTTTTTTTGTGAATACATACTCCTTGCATTTCTATCGATGGGATGTGCTGCTCATTAAGTCAAACAAACATAAAATTGTGATACATACCTAGTTGCACACTACGCTGAGTGCTCAGAATGTATGTAGTATGGAGGCAAATTTACGCCCTGCTAAGCTTTATGATTAAAGCTAATCTCTCTGGGTGTGTTTTTTTAATTTTTTTGATTAATTTTCAGAATGACGTTGATGAGCATACATTTTTTCTTCATTATAATTGCTACTTAGAGTTTTAAGGGAAATCGGTAGTGGCCTAGAAGTGAGGCGAAAAGGTAGAAATAGGAAAAATGGGCGCCTCATTAAACTTCAGTAAAATTTGAATGCATTAAATCAACAAAATTTAAAGTGCTCGGAGTTTCTTTTTACTCATTTGAGAGCTATTTGGTAGTTCTTTTTGATGAGGATTATTTATTATATAGAAATGACGTACAACATCGGGTAACAGCCATCCCAGGGCCGTAGCCAGGAAGTTCATCAGGTAACAGCAATCCTGGAAAATTGGTATAGTGGAAAGAAGCTTGTTGCTCTATTAGAAGATATTTTTTTTTAAATTTACAAGACAATAATAAATATGAAGATGATGCAAAAATTGATTTGAATTTCAACAAAAAAGGCATTAAATTATAAATATATTTAGTTATACATATTCTGGGGTAATTTCTACCAAAGTGGTTTCCGTACTGTCGTATTTTTCCACTCAAATGTATAAGCTGACCAAGGTTAAAGTCATTTAAATTTGAATTTTCGGTAACCTACCAGGTGATGTTATAAAGGGAGAGTAGTAGCTAAAATTTGAGTTAAAAAACAGTCCAACGTGATTGCTTTTCTTTAATTTTTAGAAGCATTTTAATGTGTACTTTTGATTTTTTTCGGATTTCTGGCGGCCATATTGGTGTCGCCATCTAGAAATTTTTTAATGCATCACGTTATATGAATACGAATAATTTGAGCCCTCAAACATTTTTCTCGAGCTCTTCAATTTTTGACCTCGAAAAAAATTTGTTTTTAAGTTTTTATTTATTAAAACGGGATGAGAGAGAGAGAGATTTCACCACTTATGGGGGTTGGAAATTTTTCGTACCTGCCGTGATGTATTACTATTGGTTAGACCTACAATAAAATAATTTTTTGGTTTTAAAGTTTTCCTGAATTTTTCATTAAAATACCCCTATTTAAGGGCGCGGTTTTGATATATTTAAAAAAAAATCGATTTTGGCCCACAAAATCTCTTCCAAAATCACTAACGAGAATTCAAAAAAAAATATTAAAATCGATCAAAAATTGCCCTCTTTAGGATTTTTGAACAAAAATTGTCGAAAAATCCCCCATTGGGTGGAAAACATAGCAATCACAAATTTTGCATTTATTCGCAAACAACAACCAATCTGAAAAACAAGATGTCTATTTGGAATCTACGTCCTAGAGTATAATACCCTAGACATATAAAGGTCTAAATCTAAAATATCGTCAAAATCGGTATGTATTTTTATGAGATTTTGTGTAGCCTTCTTCTTTACTTGGAAATTCTTTAATTCAGAAGAGAGAAAAAATCCAAATATACTCTCCTGCTGCTACTTGTTCCATATCCTTGAATATAAAGGACTAGGTATGTAAGCCCAATTATTTAAGACATGCGCTGACTATATAAAATTGTGTATCAAGTTAATGTGGTGTCCTTTACTATATTCCTATATTTTTATGTTATAAGCCATCATCAAACATTAAGAAATACATAAAACTCTACGTACGTACATACTTTCATATTATTTTCTCATATGCATGTACTAAAAATATATGTACATACATATGTATACTTAAGTACATGTATGTATTGCAGATGCATACCTTCACAATATATATTTAAATTTTTTTTCTCCTTTCTTTACAGGTTGCTACACAAGAACTTTCGCCACCAAATGAGTTTGCTCCCCACGTAACGGCGACATGCAAATCCGGCACAATGAATATCAAAGTGAAATTCAACGGTCCCTACACGGGTGCAGTGCATGCGCGCGATCATCGAAATGCTGCCTGCATGGCCATGGGTGACGGCTCCGAAGCGGTCGGCTTCAGCATAAATCTGTTGGCGAAGCAGGGTGCGCCCGATTATTGTGGCGTGCTGGTCAGCAACGTGAGTGGTGCCAATGTAAGCTAACCAAATGTTCCAATACTAATTTCTACTAAAGCTTTTCTTGTTTGTCTTTGAGAACTAATTTATTTTTATTTTTTTTTTGTGTTTTATGAATGTATGTATATTTTTGCGACTAGCCTTCGCATACATGATACTGTTTTGTTAATGTACATAGGCATGTATATAGTTATATACATATGTACGTGTTTGTATCATTAGATTGCATTTTGTGAATATATATAATTTTTTTTTTTCAAATGCGCGACACATTTTCACATCATTCGAATGGGAGGTGGTGATATTTTCGATTTACTGTGATTGTAATTCAATTGCTGATTTGATGATGATAACGATGGCATGAATGATGATGATAATAATGATGCTGATAGTACTCAACGCAAAGTTCATTAGTGGTTTTACCTGCGAATGCTTATGATCGGAATTTATTGTACATTATGTCTGCTATACATTCATTGACAGCCCAATCGGCGTAATAACATTTGAAAAGGAAAAGGGGAATGTGATTGCAATACAAAATTCTTTAGAGATTACGCTCATTTCAGCAAATGTATTGCGGTATGAATAATTCATTAGCGCTGCTTGGTGATTAAATGAAACAGAAACTTTCCATTTTAAGACCTGATGTATCAAATTAAAGTACAAAACTTTGATACATATTTTTATACCCTTCATGAACATGAAATGGTATGACAAATTTGAAGAAGAGATAGACACATAAAATGGCATAGCGAAATGACTAAAACGTCGAGCTGAGTCGATTTAGCCATATCCGTCTCAGTTTTCTAGTTATCCAACTGAAATTTAGTAAACGAGTGCCCTTTTATAATGTAGTATAGTAATCATTTGTCAGAACCGGAAACATCGGACTACTAGAACATATTGCTTCCATACAGCAGATTTTTCAGATATGAAAGCTTCATTTATGTAGCTAGGAACATTAAGTTTCACTTATTAATTATAGAAAGTTTAGAAAGAAAACGAGTAAGATCGGGTCCCTATATCTGCCATTCAACTAATAGTTCAGACATAACTGTTTCAACCATGAAGTTAGCGTATGCACATTTTTCCCCCTATTTGCTTATCATAAATAAGACGCGCACGGTGTAAATCAATTAAAAATAATCCGTGGCTGCCAAACAACTGTTGAAAAATACAACAAATTTTCTAATGCTCATGAAAGGTATGAAACCTCCGGAATAGAGCCGGGCAGTTATACATCCCGAGAGCTTCTGATGAAATCTTTCCAGGGAACTCCTAGTCTGGTGCATGTAATTCGTAAGGACTTTTTATAGTTTTGTAAGCAATACATATATAGGTAACTTTTTTCCCCTAAAACTAATGTTCCTCCTAAGTATTTGACGAGGCTTGATGATCTTTTTCTGTAAGCGTTAGCGTTAAATGGTTAATCGTGTTAGGTGGTGTTGGAAGCAGTCTTTAAAAATACATGTACTTGGGCACGAGTTTGTACATTTTTCGATAAAAACGTGTTTTTGGTCGAAAATGGTGGCACACTTAGACAATTCATTATCTTACGTATTGCGTAAAAAAAATTCCATCGCCAAATTGTATTTAAATGGAAACTTAAAAAAGTCTTACCGAAAAAAATTAAAAACAACAACTACCCTGCAGGAAAATTTAGAGACAGTCTGACAAAGCGCTAGTTCCGAACTACATATCTCAAAACAATCTCTGAGCTAGTGCAAAAGGAATGCAAAGCGGGACAGTCGAAACTTGCGGTGTAAATTTGCAAATGCTCACAACTCGTACAATACGAAAGTAGCTCAGCGAGAAGGCCTCCGACTCAACCATCGTTGGTTGCGAGTTCAAATCGCGGTGGAGGCAGTTGTGAGTTTTAAAATTTAATGATTTAAATTGTTGCGTACAGCTTACAATATTTTTTTTTTATTGGTTTTTTAGTTCTACGATAGTTCTAGGCTAGTCAGATTTTCTGCAGGGTAGTGCTCATATACCCGTAGTTGTGAATGTAACACATACGCCCCGTAGCAGCATACATAGTCATCTACCACGTCTTTTCGCACGCCTTACTCATATAACCATGGGCGTAGCCAGGTAGGGGCAGGGGGTGCTCGCCCCCCCGCCCCCCCTAACTTTCAAATTTTCCTTATATATATATATAATAGTACCCTGAAATGCCAGCTTAATAGGATCGAGTATATAAACAATGTTTGTGAGATCCGGATTGACTGAACTAGTAAACGTCATTGCTCATGAATTTTCACATCACGCTGTAGTCCAAGGTACAGTTGATAAATTTTCACCTTAAACCAGTTTCCGATTTAAGGAAACCGATAAGAGATTCTGTGCGTTTGAATATTTAAGGATGCCCTTATTTGCCTAGAAAATTTACATTTGGGTTCTTAACGCCACCGTTCCTCTACAACAGCGGAAAAAAATAGGGAGGCAGTAGCTCATTTCCTTAGGTAGGTCAGCTATTTCAGTCATAATTTCCCTGGCACCGATGTAGGATTTTGACCATCTATTACATGTAATCTTTTTAGCGTGAGCATCAGTCCGGAGGAGGGGCTAATTAAGTTGAAAAGAAACTAAAATATAAGACCAATTATAAAAAATGTACAATATATATAAAAAATCTTTGCGGCTTAGATTAAGGCGTTATTTTATTTGCTCTGAGCATAAGAGCTTTGAGCATGAATATGTAGTATTTGGAATATTAGCTCCACTTTTCAGGTTGTTAATTATATCTTTGAGTGACATATTCACAAAATTAATAAGGCTTACAGTAACAAGCTTAATTCAACGTAAAAATTTCGTGTTCGTACATTTAGTACAAGAGGTTCGCAGCTTAAGTCTTTTGATTGCCAAATATCAAATAAAAAAAACTCATTTAGTATACAAACGCAACTAAGCGCAAAAGATTTGTTGACGTATGTAATTTTGAAATCAAATGAGAAAATAAAATTGCGCAAGTTGAATTTTTGCCGCGAAAATTTTAGTGCCAACTTATATGTATGTATGTATATGTGCTCAGATACATAGAGTGAAAAAATAACCAATTGTAAAACTAAAGCGCAAAAACGCTGCCGCAACAATTGTGATAAAGCGCCGCCAAAAATAGCCGATGCAATAAAAAAACGACACCGTACCAGTATCTCTAAGCTCAAAAGAATTTCAATAACAATATCCAAATATGCTACATTGCTCGGCTAAACTTACTTAGGTTTTATATACAAAGCCGATTAGCATGTGACCATAAAGACAACAGAGCAGACAAACTAAATATAAAAGATGAAGGAGAATAGCAACAATTTCGAAATTTACAAATATTCACAATTGGGTGTTGAATTGAAAATTGCTTTGTGTGCAACAACGCGGATTCGACACAAAATAGCCATAAGAGCAGTGTGCCGCCACAATAAGGCCGATCAATCGATCAGCCAAAACACGTATGAGCACTAAATACTCGCATACATAGATATGTATATGTGATAAATACATATGAATTTTTGAACGCGCACAATGGTCTTAATGGAGTATCTAGCGGGACGAAATACTAAAAATGAAAGTTTTCGACTCGGTACTAAGTAGGGCTGATTATAATTTCTCAGGAATATCTGGTAAGAAGGTCCCTCCATTCTAGGATTTACATGAATGCTCAATTTTTGCATTTTGAAGTCGTAAATGCTACGGTCCTGAACATACTAGAAATTCTTTAAAATTTCACAGTTCGCTAGGTTTTTTTATCAATTTTTTTTTTCTAAATGGTAAGTCAGAATTGTGACATTCAATCGTTTCATTTAAAAAGTTATTAATTCTTCATTTATAGAAGGGAAAAACATACATTTCTGTAAGTATAAGTAAAATGTAATTATATAAGGCGTATTCTCTAAGTCTTGCAAAGCTCTTGCATGGTGCACGATTTGCAAAGCTGCCCCATATGAAAGCCGGTTTTTAGTGTGCAATCTGTGTACCATGCAAGGGCTTTGCAAGACTCAGAGAATATCTCTGAATTTGAAAAAAATACTCTACCCAATTTTGCCAAATACCTATTCATATGTTGTTATTATTTAACATATAAACTACACACACAGAGACAATTATAGCCAGCTTTTTCCAAATTTGTCTAATATTTGAATTTAAGAGGAACATAATTTAAGTTAAAATCCACTAACTTTTTAAATGATAAAGCCATCATATGGGAGGTCCCTTGAAAATTCTTAAAACCTGCTTTCAGATTCCTAATCAGCTACCATAAAATTTCTAAATACTACGAAAAACCGCCGAGTAACAAATTTCTAGCGAATTCAATAAATTTTAAAAAATAATTCCGCCATATTGAAGCAGCCATTTTGAATTTTTGAAACCTCACTGATTTGTAATCAATGCCATATAAACTAGTAGATATAAAATGGTGTACAAATCCAACAACACGAATGTGTTAAATAAATTTTGTCCCACTGGATTCTCTATTCAGGCCACTGCGCGGCGGCGAGACCAGATCCAGATACGTACTCGCTCATATCGTACATGTTTGTAACTATATACACATGTCTGTAGATTGTTGCATATTTGCCGCACACTTAACCCGGCAGAGTCAATCACCGGCGAATGAACGAACGAACGACACGAAACAAGGCGCGTCGAATAGCCAGAAAAAAAGCAGAAAATTGTTTTTGCAGAAAAAAGGCGATTTAGAAAACCAGGTTGGTCAGCAGCTAGCCGCCAACTATGCTAGCGGGCATTTTAGTGCGCGCAGCTGGCTGCCAACTAGTAAATACATACGTATGTACATACTTACATACATATGTCATACTTACATACATACGTATGTATGCCTGTGACTCCTTTGGTGGTGCATATTTTTAGTGTCTCAGTTTTGTGGCTCGCGGCTCGTCTTGTGCTTGTCAATCGTTGTCTGCGCATGCGTAGCGCGTAGACAGATGCTCAAGCGGGCGGCCAGACGGACAGACAGACAGGTCGAAGAGATAAATGGCAATGCGTCTGACTAATGTGGC